AAAAAAAAAAAAAAAAAAAAAAAAACAAGATTTGTTTTCTGAAAAATTCACCATCAAATGTAATAAAGGGACAGAAAAAAAACGTAAAAACAAAAACATTTGTCCAATTTTAGGCTACTACATTTTACATCTTACAAATTTAGTTATCAATGCTTTTAAACATTAGTAGGCAGTCAAGATTGTATCAAAATAAGTGACAACATACTAACTTTTAACAACAGTTGTAAAGGCAAGAAAGGCAAGACAATTTGCATTCATGCCATATTCATTAACAATAACAAAATGATATTTGCTCCATTGCAAACATATCATTGTTTCTAATATATGTATAACACGAAATGTAGCTAATATAATTAATTACTCAATTTGAAACACAGAGAATACCAGCCAACTACAATTTGTATGAAGCCAGTTTGTGATGTTGGATTTATTATTAGTAACAGATTCCAAATTCTGTTATCACTGAGTAGAAGGAGCCGCATCAGAATTTAGAATGTTCTATGGCATGTAATCAGATTTTTTTAAGTTATTATCTTAGCGTATTCCCCAATAGCAGATACTTAATGTCTTATTTAATTTCTGAGATGTCTAGTGTACTAGATCCCAATTTACATTAACAATTGAATTATACCATTATTGACAGAGTAACAAAACTATTCTAGTATTCAGCAAACTCCTGGCCAAATAAAATTTTTTTATCTGATTTCAATTAGAAGAGGTAAATTTGAGAAGCTTTTGGAAAACCCCTAACATTTAGGAATAACTATGAATTTTGAGCAACATAGAAACCTGGACTATTGGCCAATGAAAAACACATGACATAAATGATACGTCTGCTGATATCTAAAGTCCACCAAGCAAATTTTCCAGCCAACAAGTCAATGGCAATATTTATATTTCATATAATTTTTACATAACATTCAGAAAGGAATAATTCATGTGTACAGTGGTACCCTGAGTATACCATCGTTTCAAGCTCAGTAGGTCTTCAGTGTTTGCTACATTCAATTGAAATTGCCATCATTGGAGCTGAATATTTCTTTTGAAATCTTAATCAATCAATCAAAATTTCTTAAATGCTTACTACTGTTTAAGATACTAGGAGAGAGTAAACTAAGAAAAGTTAAAAATCAGGCCGGGCGCGGTGGCTCACGCTTGTAATCCCAGCACTTTGGGCGGCCGAGATGGGTGGATCACGAGGTCAAGAGATCGAGACCATCCTGGTCAACATGGTGAAACCCCGTCTCTACTAAAAATACAAAAATCAGCTGGGCATGGTGGCGCACGCCTGTAGTCCCAGCTACTCGGGAGGCTGAGGCAGGAGAATTGCTTGAACCCAGGAGGCGGAGGTTGCGGTGAGCCGAGATCGCGCCATTGCACTCCAGCCTGGGTAACAAGAGCGAAACTCCGTCTCAAAAAAAAAAAAAGAAAAAAAAATCTGCCCAAGACTACCTAGCTAAGTAGCAGAAAATGAAATTATATCTAAATATCCTAGCACTCATGCTTTTTCCAGAACCAGTACTTTGCCTTACATTTAGTAAAATAATTTTGCATGTTAATTATGTGGTCCAAGAAGCTTCATCAGAGTCATCACTAGATACCCTTAAGATACTCAGTGTGTTTACTCCCTCATATGTGTTCTCCTCCCAGGCCTAATGAATCAAACTGCATTTGCACAAGACACCCTATGCATTGTTGTATATACAGTGACTAGTATGTACAATAAAGTTTGAGAAGTACTGACCTATTTACTATTAATTAAACTTTAATCTGAAAAATTTATCTTTACTTCAAAATAAGAATACATCTTACCTATAATCTTATTAAAATATTTACAAAATAATAACATTAAATTTTAAATGTTTTATAAAAATAACCAAACTGGTAACCTAATTGATTTATTATTTATTAAAATAAACTTTAAAAATTCTCTCTATTGATCTAGGATATAGAAATCCAGTTATTTAATCAAAACTAAAGAATTTTGGCATAACAAATAGTACAAATATTTCAATTTCAATATATCAGTTAGATTTCTCCTTTAATTAATAAGATATTAAAATATAGTAAAAAATTAATCGTGACAATTTTATTAAGAAAAAAATTAAAAACTATAAAAGTAAGAATTTCTAGTTTTTTAGCATATCTAAACATGTCTTAGCAGAAATGATTTTTAAAAAACAGAAAGAAGGAACAGTCAGTGAAGATCAAGCTGTACCAAGCAATTGGTATTTTCAGATAAGGAAAATGCACATGTAAGAATTAACTGGAATGTTTAATTGATGGTTTTGGTAACATTCATAGAGAAAGAATGATTTTTTTCTATTCTTCTTTTGGAATATGCAAAAAAGATATTTCATCTCGAGGTTGCTAATAACATATAAAAAAAAAAAAAAAAAAAAACACAGCCTGAAGTATAGATAAGCTCGGCTATCTGTAAAAAACAGGAAAAACATTCTGATAATAAAAATAGAGATTTGCATGAATAATTAGTAAAAAGCATATAGTTATAGAGAAAAGGAGAAGGTAATACAATAATTATATATTATATATATTATTATATGAGGAATTAAGGTTGATGTTATACTACTAATCTACAATGAAACATAAAAATATGTACGGAAATTTGTGAGCACCATGAAATGATAGAAAGGCTTCCAAAAATTCAATAGCAGTGTAAATGCATGATTGAAAGTAGAGCAATGTTAAAATATTTTTTCTTTCTTAATCAGCAAACACTTAGTAAATGTCTACTGTGTTTGAATCAGTATGTTAGATGTTATAATGGGAATGTGAAAATAAACATGTTAAAGGTACTCTTTTTCTTATTAAAACTCATTGTTATAAATTTACGGAGGATAATAACATAGGAAGCTGACTCTGCACAAGCCCTCTACTAAGTGTCTACTAAATGCCAGCTCACTGAATGCTTAAGACAAACCTCAGGGCTAGTTATTGTTTGGACCCCGTTTTATAAATCAGGCAACAGGCATAAAGAGAAGCAATAAGTGATTCAAGGTACCCACTAGATGGCGGAGGGCTCAGATTCTAACCATGTCTTTCTTTAGACCAGAAAACACTTATTTTAGTGAGTTCCCTTTCAGTTCATTTCCAAAATATAGTTTACTAATAACATAGTTAGTTACTAAAAGCAGCATCAATTTAAGCTATGTGTGTGTACATATGTGTGTATGTAGCCATACGTATAATTTTATTTGCATAAAATGGCCCTTAATATTGGAGATTTTAAATCTGACCTTCAGAGTCCAATAACTCTCTAAAATGTGATGGAACATTTTTGTGTGTACATATGTCTGCATTTTTCTCAAGGTTCTTAGCTTATGTGGGATCTTAAAGGCAGGCTTGATATCCATTCTTTTGCTGCGGAAGAGAGTTTTACCAAAGGCATCTTAACATGTGAGGTACTAATGATGGCCATGCTAATACTAAGGATTATTTTTCTTCTTTTCTTGTGCCATCCTACGCAATAATAGTGTAATTACCAGAGTGGGTAAGAACATGGGCTTTGAGGTCAAACTGCGACCGAATCTGAATCCCAACATTTGATTTTTGTATTACCGGGCTAAGTTGATTAATGGTCCAAGACCTTGGGTTTTTTTGTCTATAGCATAGAAGTACTAACATTTCCTGTGTCACAGAGTCATGAGGATTAATTGGCATAAATAGTTCAAAATGCTTAGTACTGTACCTGACTCCATTAGCAGTCAATAGGTAAGTTTTTAATGAACTGATTTCTCATCCTGCCTAAGAATGTATGCACATCTATAACTTCATGAGGAATAAACAAAAAGGAAAGAAGAAATTGTTTTATCACACTGCAGTTTGAACAAAGAGGCCTGAGAGCTAACTATTTGCCAGGCTTTTTTAAAGGAGTCTAATGTCAGCAAAACAGTCCTCAGCATGAAGTTTCACCGCTTACAAATCTTCCTTGAATTCATAACCGCTTGTCTGTGTTCTTAATCTTTTTGACTTGCAATGCTCTAATTTTTATTTTAGGAATGATAATGTGCTTGTTGTGAAAGTTAATTAAATGCTAGATATTAATCTAATTTTTATTCTTACTGACACTAATATTTGGCATTTTCTCTCCTCCAGGACTCCAATT